TCTTCTCTGTTAAAGTATTCATCTAGGTCACATTTGCCTGAAACTACCACATACACCCATTTCTGAGAATAATGTACCATGTTTCCTTTTGAAGGCATAGTGTTCAGAGCAGTCTCCCAACATTGCCAGAGCAAGCATGACTTAGTAATAGTTAGCAAGTGTTCCAGTGTTTTCATTGCCTATAAGTATATTTTCCCCTTGACTGTAGCAGTTGAGAAGAGAAAGCTGTATCTGTCTTTGTGAATGTGCTGAAACTGCAAGAGTAGAGCAAATTAGGTATTGATTATACAAAAAGAAGGAAGTGTTAATGGAAGAGACCTAAAGGTTACCTTTGCTCTTCAGAGTGTTTCCATATGGGTCTCCTTGCAATAGCTGAGCTAAGCATTCCATATAAATGAGAAATATTTCATGTACGAACAGTGGATCTGAATGCATAAATAGATACTATGGACAGTGTACAGTCTATACAAGAGGAGTGTGAGTTTCCCATCACTATGCTTTTGGCCAGATAGCTCTTTGTGCAGTTCCTCTTACATGATTCTCAGTTGCTAATAGTCAAAAGCTATTTGTAGTGGGTTAGGATTTTTTTTATAAGTTTAAGAATATGTGTGACAAAAGGGAAACTAGTTGGAAAAATGCATACTTGTAACTAATAAAATGAATATTTCTTCTATAATTTTGGTACTTTGCTAGACCGGGGGATGGCAGTCAAAATCAGAAAGGCATTGTTTACTTTGGAGAGGGCTTCTGGCTTCTCTCCCAAGTTCATCATGATCTCCCTAGGGCAGCCTCTTGACAATGCTCTGTGTGTACATTTATAAAACCTATGAGGGCATGCATAAATAATGTAAAGGCACTGATGACAAGAGAGGGATGTCTAGCCTAATCTACTGTCCCAAAAGGAGTACCTAGTTACTTTGCCATTTGTCTAGGTCTTTTTTCAGTGGAGCAGTTCACAGTGAATTGGGCATAGATGTGGAATGCCCAGCCAAGTTCAAACATTCAATTCACTGACTATGGCTAATCTTGGTAGGGTGGATTTGGTCAGCCTAATCTACCTTACAGGTTTCCAAATGGTACTTTTAGCTTCTTGGAGGAAATGTGAGATGCAACAGTTACTGAGCTCTCTTAAGCTGTTCAGATGCTGTAAGTGCAAGGAGCAGATGGGAATGCACATGCCAGCTCATCCAAGTTCCCCTGTTGACAGAGGGGGTCTTGGGAGGAATTGCAAATGTCTTTGGTTGTTTTTAGTTACAGTTGTCCAAAAATTGCAGGAATGCTATATGTCCCAGTTACCCAGTCCTAGGGAGGCCCTCTGTGTCATCTACTTTTACATTGTTACAAAAAGACAACTTGTTATTGAACAGAACACTATCTATTCCAGTGATCTTTCATCCAAAGAAAGCAAAATCCTAGTAATGCTGACCTAGCAACTTCCAACTTCTCTGGAAAGTAGGGAATGTGTCACAATAATTGCCTTTTAAGTTGAGCCTGATGTCACATAACAAGTAGCTGAAGTTTTGGAAGCAAAGTTATATCAGTAAAATCAAGATATGTTGTAAATTTATCAGTTATTCACTATATTTTGGCATGTGGTGAATTCTGTTGTAGTACAGTACTTTGGATTCCTTCAATAACATGTAATTGTACAGAGTACAGGAGCATAACCCAGATCTTGGTAAGAAAATAAGAGTATGTAAAATATTCCTATTTTCAGCTTTGAAATAATTGTAGAGTATGTGCGGATTGTTCTAATGTGGAATCTTCCTATTTTGGCTCTTTCTATTCCTGGAACTGTGTCTTACTGGCAACCATTCCAGTTGGCTAAAGCTGATGGAGAATTGAGACAGTGCATTCTCCTCTGTCAGCTTGATCTGAAGCAACTCCATCTGGATCCTACTTTACAGTCTCTGTGATGATTTATTCATGATGTAACTAAAAACATGGGTGCTAAATCTAGTTGCTGGTTGCAGATAGAGTAGATCCTTTGAATCAGTGGCAGCTTGGTAAGTCAGTACTTACATACAGTCCATTGATTCAGTGGGTTTACTGTAGTTGAGAGTAACAAATTGAATTAGGTCTTTGTGTCTGCCTTTCCTGATGTCCTCTTTCTCTCCCAAAATGTTCCCTTTTTGTGCTCTGTCTTTTAATTTTAACACTCCATTAAAAAACCTAGAACGTTATTTTATGTGCAAGTCTTTTAATTCATTTATACTTGTCCAATTTTTAGTAGATAAAAAGAACAACTATTTCCTGTCTTATAAGACTGATTTGTGAGTTGAGTTGGGATTAAACCATATATTTTCTATTCCCATCTCCAAGATTTCATATTTAGAAAAAGTCATGTTGCATTCCAAGCCACCTGAAATCACCTTGCAAAAATCGATCAGGGTCATTTTTTGTTTTTTATACTCTGCCTCCTCCTGCTTTGTGAACCCAAGTGGAAAAATATGAAAGAGAGCCCAGATTAGAAGTAAACATGTAGGGGGTAAGTCATTTTCAAGGCTGTGCTTTGAAAGGTATCACTTTAATTCCTATCACTCAGCTGGGTGTCTGTCAGCAGCAAGTGAGGATGAAAAACTGATCTGATGGTGAATATCCCAGCAGAAGAATGAGCAGTGGTTTAATATATCCAAACGGCATCCACAATTAATTCCAAATTTGGAGTTCTTAGTAGCAAGATCAACCACAGGATTTTTTTTGCTGGCAGAAATAGGTATCACAGAATGCTGCTCTTTAGCTCCCTCTAATGTGGTTGCTGACCTTGAGCCAGACATCCTGGAGAATGAAGTCAAGTGGACCTTACAAAGCTTGGCTAACAACAAGGCCAGTGGGGGTGATGGCATTCCAGTCGAATTATTTAAAATCTTAAAAGATAATACTGTTAAGGTGCTACATTCAATATGCCAGCAAGTTTGGAAAACTCAGCAGTGGCCAGAGGTTTGGAAAAGATCAGTCTGCATCCCAGTCCCAAAGAAGAGCAGTGCCAAAGAATGCTCCGATTACCATACAATTGCACTCATTTCACATTCTAGCCCTTATGCTCAAATCCTACAAAGTAGGCTTCAGCAGTATGTGGACCGAGAACTCCCAGAAGTACAAGCTGGATTCCGAAGGGGCAGAGGAACTAGAGACCAAATTGCTAACACGTGCTGGATTATAGAGAAAGCCAGAGAGTTCTAGAAAAACATCTACTTCTGCTTCATTGACTATGCAAGGCCTTTGACTGTGTGGACCACAGCAAATTCTGGCGGGTTCTTGAAGAAATGGGAGTACCTGTTCACCTTCTCTATCTCCTGAGAAATCTATATGTGGGACAGGAAGCAACAGTTAGTACTAGATATGGAAGAACTGATTGGTTCAAAATTGGGAAAGGAGTACAACAAGGCTGTATATTGTCCCCCAGCTTATTTAACTTATATGCAGAATACATCGTGCGAAAGGCAGGACTGGAGGAATCCCAAAACGGAATTAAGATTGCCAGAAGAAATATCAACAATCTCCAATATGCAGATGATACCACTCTGATGGCAGAAAGTGAGGAGGAATTAGGGAACCTTGTAATGAGGGTGAAAGAGGAGAGTGCCAAAAATGGTCTAAAGCTCAACATTAAAAAAAACCCCTAAGATCATGGTGGCCACTGGTCCCATCACCTCCTGGCAAATAGAAGGCAAAGATATGGAAGCAGTGACAGATTTTACTTTCTTGGGCTCCATGATCACT